TATTTTCAATGAACTGTGTTGAGTTCTCTATACAAAAACAATAGTATGAATACGATAATAAATAATTACCTAAGTGAAACAGACATAAACACACTCCAGAGAACTTAAGATAAATCTTGATTCTCAAATGTCGAAGTCATAACTTTCATCCGGATAAATCGTTCCACGTTTAAATTCCATACTTCGTTGCAACCAATACTCTACTATTTTGAACGAATCAATCTCTTCCTCCGTTATAGACTACGGTAACTTTACTCTTTCTGTATTCCTAGATTTTTACAGCTTTACTTTATAAACTACAAAAAAAGGGAGTGTCAGATGAATTGTTATAATGGTTCTCAAGCTATTTAAATCACAGACAATGTATTATCAATCTAATGTTTTATCAATCCACAAAATACTTAACATCTGAATATCAATTCCAGCAGTAACAACATTCAAAATATTCTTAAAATAACATTATACATGCATACAGCGTTAGCTATTCAGTTAGCTAATGGAGCGCCATAAATAACACCATGATCGTACTAGAATGAAAGCTCCGAAACGATGTTTCTGGTTTCTAGCTGAAGAGCTGGCATTTTGTATACGAACTTATTTTAGAATATGACTATTGTTAACGGATAAACGTCAACAACATTAGCTATGAACATAGGAGTGCCGCAGATATCTGTTCTTGAGCCTCTACTGTTATATACAAATATCATCTGTTCACTGATGATATTTGTTTACACATACAGTCTAAAATTAGACTTTTTGCAGATGATACCGGTTTACCATAGCAGTAATGACATTGTCTCAGCTACTAACATATTGAATTCGGAGTTGGAAATAGCTCAGAAATGGTCAGATTTTTGGTAGTTACCTTTTAATCCCAAAAAATGTGTAGCCATGTTATTCGAGAGAAGCAAAAATGCCACAACTTTTTTTAAGTACATCTCGCTTACAATTCATCGATAGTTACAAACATCTTGAAGTCTATCTGACCAAGTCGTTAGACCGGTCATTGCTCATTACCGAAGTCGTAAGGAAGTGTTCTTATCTTCTTTATATCACGCACAAATACAAACACATTTTAAGCACTTCTACTCTTGGTTAGATTTTTAAGTCATACATTATGCCAATAATAACCTAAGTGAACACCGTCTATGTATCTTTAAAAGAAATACATCCCACAAAACGTAATATTGACAATGTACCAGCCTATCTCAAGCCCATCTTTAACCTGCAGTATGTGGCAGCACTAGCACTTAGTGCTGGTGGTATTATGCACCTCAGTCCAAGATATAAGGTATTGAAAATTCTAGGATTGATCCCGATTGAACAGGTATTGCTAAAAGGCGCGAACGCCCACGAATACCCAAGAACACCCCCAAATTAAAATCTGAGTTAGCTAATCGATAGAGCTCGTCGAGCTGAGTATAACAACGCCTAACGAACATCCAAAAAAGCTTCTATAGTTTCGCTTTTTAACCATACATTTTGAATGAACACCCATGAACATCCACGAACACAAAGAAGAAAGGGTAAGAACACCCAAAAAAGTGCGCCAAATTCATCTTCAGGTTATTCTGGGCTGAGGGTGTGGTGTGGTGTGGGGGTGAGGATGAGGTACTAGTAGGCTCATCCTCAGCCCATAATAACCTGGAGATGAATTTGGTTCACTTATTCGGATGTTCTTACCCTTTCTTCTTTGTGTTCGTGGGTGTTCATTCAAAATGTATGCTTAAAAAACGAAACTATAAAAACGTTTTTTGGGCGTTCATTAGGCATTGCTATACTCAGCTCGACGAGCTCTATCGACTGACTGACTCAGATTTTAATTTGGGGGTGTTCGTGGGTGTTCGCGCCTTTTAGTAATACCCCGATTGAACACACTTCTGCAATTAATAAAATATTACTTTTCTTCAAAATATTTTTGCTTAGATTTCTTGTTCAAAGGATTCCTCAGCAACAAGTGTTGGCGTTATGCTCAAAAGATAGAGGTCAAATAAACTCCTTGCGTGCACATACACAAAAAGTTAAAAATATCTTCTTCCCCTGGGCTGTAAGGCAATGGAATGTACTTCCGATTATATACAGCAAATAGGAAAGAAACAATTTTTCGCGTGGCTGTAAATAAACTATTTTTTCCGTACTACAGGTAACCTAGGTTGAGTAATAGATTGCGAAAGTACAACATGATATTAAACCAGATGAGGGTTGATTTTGCTCCACTTCACTCTGATTTGTTATTACATACAATAAAGTTTTGTGCCTGTGGTGAAGCAGGGACGGTGACACATTTTCTCTTGGGATGTTCACTATACCAACTACATCGAAATAATTTTCATAATGACTGGTCTAATGTAGCCCCGGATACCTCTTTCACTCTAGTAAACGTACTCTTTCTTCTCCAGAATATTCAAAACATTGGTGACTCTCAAATATACCAACTACATCTTCTTGTTATCAACTATTTAAAAAACATTCAACGTTTTTAATCTCTACTTAGTTCCTCTTTTCCATCCAAACTTCACTGAGACTTATCTCTGCTTATGCATGTGTGTTTCTTTTTTTTCTTTTCTACAATTTGTATACTGTTGCACCTTTTCTTATAGATCAATAGGTAAAATGATACAATGGGTTCGCTCTTTCTTTTTGTGTCTTCTCATTTATTTAAACTTGTTTGCCATCTTTTTCTGAATCAATAAGCTTATAATAAAGACCGAGCCGCTGCACATATCGGGATCTAACTTTTTCCCATACCTTCTTAAATTGCTCAGAAAAAAATCACTGTTCTACTTCATCGTCATTCGATGCTGTTCCATTGCGACAAAATTTCCTGCTGTTGCGTCGCAGCCAGGCGCGATCCGTAAGTAGAGACAACTGCTGCAGCGGCGAGACTTGCCAGTTTTCCCGCTGTCGGAAAATCTTTTCCGTGCGTAATGCCAAATAAAAACGCGCCTGCAAACATATCGCCCGCGCCGCTGGTATCCACCGCTTGTACCTTGTAGGGCGCAATGTTGTGCAGTTGTGTTCCATCGTAAACTATTGCGCCTTCTGCACCGAGTGTAACCGCAAATGTATGAGAGATCTTTTTCAAACTATCAATAGCGAGATCTAAATTTTCTGTTTGCGCCCAACTTAGTGCTTCAAGCCGATTACAGAATAATAAATCGATACGCTTGCCCAGCATTTCGCACAAACCATCGTGAAACTGGGTCACAATTCCTGGATCAGAAAAACTAAGGGCAGTTTTCACGCCGTTTTGTTCCGCAATTTCACGTGTGCGAATGGCAGCAGCGCGAGTGGTTGGAGAAACCACCAAATAGGCTTCAAAATAAACATAACTGGCAGCGGCAATGACTTCTGGTACAAGATCGTGCTGTGATAGCGCCGAATTAACACCAAGAAACGTATTTAAAGTGCGCTCAGCATCGGGAGTAATCATCACCAAACATGTACCCGTGATGCCTTCATCGCGGCGTTGATCGATGTGACAGTCGACACCCGCTGCTTGTAGATCGCGCAAGTAAAATTCGCCGTTGCTATCGTCTCCAAGCTTACAGGAATAAAATGTTTGGCCACCGAACTGAGCAATAGCGATAATAGCATTGGCTGTGGAGCCGCCGCTAGTCCGCTTCGAACGTACCAAATGACCGGCAAGACAGTCAAGCAAATGCCTTTGCCGTGCTTCATCCACTAGTGTCATGACGCCTTTCTCGACTGCCATCGCCGCCAGATCAGCATCCGTTACACTGATTTCTGTATTCACAAGTGCGGCGCCCAAGCCGTATACATGGTAATGTTTTGTCATTGAAGGTCTTTTCCTGTAAAGCAAAGGTTTCCGTTATGACTGCTGTCCTATCGATTGCGTAGGCGATCTAATACTTTTTAGGCTACAGTATTCACTACCTAGCCATGCTTTTGCATACGTTTCGAAAATTTATGTTGGTGTTTTATCGCTTTTAATAGAGTAAAAAGTGGCGAATGCTAACAGAATGGTGTCATGACATTTGTAAAATCTATGTGTTTTCCAGTTTTCGATGTTTTGAAAGCTTTCTTCGTGAATCAGGTAGAGCGATCGATTTTCTACCGTTTGATGCAAGTCGCTAACCTAACTCTGCTCGTAGAACTTGGTGCTGTGAAATTTTCGACATACTACTTTCAAATTTCTCATTGAACTCAGTCACGGCGAATGTGTAATCGCGCTCACATTAGTGGTAAGGTTGGGTCAACTGCGCTGACTTTCAACTCTACCTCCCTTTTCAAATTTCCGATCCGACTTCAGCTCCAACTTCGCTCAAAATTCTTCAACTCTAACTCCAACTTCATCAACAAAAATCTCAACTCGGGTTCAAATCCGGTTGCTCCACTTCTGTAAGGAAGATTTTCCGGTTTTTAGCAGCATTTTGGACGTTTCTGAGCTTTTTCCGGTCGGAAAGCGCAAAGAACTTCCGAATTTCACTCGCGAATACAGCCACTCAGTCGCTTAGAAGATCAGTTTTACAACCATTGAATATTTTCAAAAACCCAAAACGGAGTTGAGAATAAAAATTCAAATACCTAACTCCAATCTCCTAAAATCTCAACTCTAACTTCGCCAAGGTTAACTTCAATTCCAACTCCACCAAAAACATCCTTAACTCTGGTGTTGGAGTTGCCCAGCCCTGATTAGTGGAGTGAACGCCACCTGTTTCCCTTTTTCCGTCCCCAAAACATAAGTTTTTCGATTTCTTTTATCACTAATACAGCCCCACAGTGACTTTTGTTGAATGCGATGTAAACGAGAGATTTTCGTTGTTAATTAGAATACGTATTAAATCTGACTTTGGAGACCTATAGAGGAAAAAATGAGTTATGGTCATTTAATTGGATTCGGATTTCTTAATAAGTGCGGTTTTTTTTAATGTTTTAAACGTGCTGTGGGAATCAGCGATGGATTCCTCACACCGATGAGCACGGCCAATTTTTAATTATGTTTGCTAGAAAAATAAAAATCGTCACCTTGTAAAAAGGGAGTGCCATGTGAAGCTGAAAAAGATTGTGATGTTGGGTACATTTCCGAAACCCTTCAGAAAAGCACTGAGCTCCTAGTATTCTGCTTAATTTTGTTGGGATTGCGCCAAATTCTGGTAGAACTAGAGTTGGAATCCTATCCGAAGTGAAGTAGAACCTAAATGACAGTATGAGCTGATAATGTAAACTTAGCATTTTGTTAATTCCGAGAATTTCTATTTAAAGCTTGGTATTATTACATATTAAGGCACGAATGTGTCAGGCTGGCGAAGGAAAAGGATCAGAGTACGCAAATATATAGTTCTCAGGGAAGCAGAAAAATACATTTTTCTTTTAAGATCCAGAACTTTCGATGACAAACAACTTTAGTAAAATAAAATAAAAATTTCTCACTTTCAAACGATTTACGTGCCTAGTGTAAGTTAAATAAATAATAATGTGTTCTTTGTAGGTAATCTAAACACACAGAACACACGAAAAAGTAAAGGAAGAGGAGAGAAGCCATTTAGAGAAAAGAGATGCACTTTTTTATGAAAAACAACGGTTAGTATTGCGATAACAATAACTCAAACATAACAGCAAAAAAATTCTAAGTATATGGTTTGCATTTTCAAAAATAAGTAGAATCACAAAAGAAATGAATACGTTATTTAAAAGATAAATATTTTTATTATTTCATCTGTTACTGTCACTGGTAAGACCGTATGGGCCACATTTCAGTGCAACAAGCGCTAAATTTATTTTGAAGTCTACAAAACAAACCTTGTGTCACTCCTGCGAGTTTCATAGTAAAGAAAAGACCTTCCGTCTAGATGAAAACTGAAACGTTAGTGCTAATAATGTAATGTAGATACTGTTTTTCCACAATACATTAAAACTACAATGTTCCCCCTGCGTTTAACGTCGTACACTTTTTTTGAAGTGATGTTTGAATTACATGAAACCTTGCGGCGAATTAAAGGAAATACAGTAATTGTTGCGTATTTCCGTCTCCGTCTAAATTAAAGTATCATCAAAAGTATTTCAATTCTGATATAACTATATGATTTACTACTATTTCGTATTCTTAGAGACACATATAGTATGACATGTAATGATATATTTTACCGTTTACGAAAAAAATATGTTGCATTTCAAAGAAAACAAATTGAAAGCAAAATTTTAGTGCCCGATCCGTAAAATAAATGAAGTTTAGACATGTCTGTCTTGAATTCCTCTTGACCTATGTTTAGATCGTGTTTTCCAGTGTAACAACAACAGCAATAACACGAAGAATAAAAATAATAGCTTCAGCAACAACCAGTACAGTCAGCTTAAATGTATCTACAAATATCACATTCTTGACAAGGATTGTACCTAAAACTCGATTATTAAATGATATCAGTATCACAAACTCCGCCACAGAACCGACCATATTGTCCTTAGGTAAATTTTATTTTATTTTATTCATGTCTCATTCGAAAGAGCATACAAAATCACCACTAATCCTGCAATAACTCTTTCTGAAAGTGCTTTTTTAAAAGCTGGAGGTCAGACACTCGTTGAGATGTCTGGGCATAGGTTTTATCATTTTCTAACTTTTCTAAATTTTGCTGCAAATCTTAAAGAACTGGACATAAAACGTTTTTAAGCTGTCACAGATGTAGAGCGACTATTTTTCTACAAGATGCGACATCGACAAGCGATGCACTTTTTTGGTTTTACACGCATTTTACGACAAGCACTGTATTTGAGACCGGTCTCCTACCGGTTTTTACCTCAGTTTGGATCCATTGACCAAATGCAATTATTTACCTCTAGGGGCGGGGGGGGGGGGGGGGGGGGGGGGGGGGGGGGGGGGGGGGGGGGGGGGGGGGGGGGGGGGGGGGGGGGGGGGGGGGGGGGGGGGGGGGGGGGGGGNGCCATGGCCTTCTAATAGGTTTGTCTACATGAATGAGTGAGAAAGATAGACAAAATAGTAAAAAATAGAAAAAAACGGTGGTCGATCGAAAATCAAATTAACTGCAGCATAATCGCGGATATTGTGCACTCGACTCGTGTCATCAGCATGTCGCACACTGAACAGTTTTGATCCAATGGCATCATTTCTTGAACTGGGATACGTGTGGAAGGATAACAGTCTGGTACGACCTCCAAGCATACCAGGCTATTGTTTTGAAATGACCAATGTCGATTATTCGACATCGGAAGTTACATCTAGTGGCCTGTTTTGTTATCGTTATCAGTTCATATTAGTAAAGAAAAACAAATTTTAACTTTGTAAAGTAGGAAAAAAATGTCTTAGCCATTTTTCAATAGTAAGCATGAGGTACCATACAGTGATCTACGGCTTACAGTTGTGAGCAAATGCAGCACTGTTAGTCAAGTGATTTTATGAGCCATTTAGACCTTCTATACTCATTTCTTATAATTAAAGATATGATTTTCCAACATCAAAGTCATTGTATTTACAAGATTTAAGATAACTCCAAGGCAAATAATTGCTTTTACACTCTAAGGTGTGCGTAGAATAAACACTTTCTTCAATCTTCGGGACCAGTCCAAAAGTCAACTGACCGCTTTGTAGCATTTGAAAAACGCTTAACTCATTGCCTCCTCGCTGCTTTGGAATATAGCACGTGCTGCTAGAGGCGGGTAACGCTAACCCCTACATTGTTAAGTCATGAACATAACGAACATAACATAACGAGGTACGCTGATTCTACAGTTCCGATACAAGTGAAGTCCAACAGTATCAAACTCTTGGCAGATTGACAACGAAACTAGCGAATAAAGCTAACGATTTGGTTTCGTCCTTTATGGTGCGTATTTTTTAAGAATTATCTAGAAAACATGCAGCTAGCGCGTTGCTTCGTTTCAAGGAAGGACATTGAACTTAGTTTTCATTTATTCAGGCAGAAAAAGTAAGCAAGGAAATCTAGCTTATCAAATAGCTCAAGCGCCCGCTTAATTGTACATTTTTTGGGTCAAATAGCTAGCTGCGCCGAGAAAGTCCCCACTGGCTAACTACAAGCGGTCGATCTAGTGGGCGCTTAATTGAGCGATCAGCGTCGAATTCAAACACATCAGCTAGCTTCATCTCACTTAAGCGAACTTTGATGGGTTAAAAATTGGGTCAGGTAGCTGCAAGCGCCCGCTTCACGATTTTTTTTCTGCCTGGGTTATTTTTCCTTTTTTTATTACCATTTATTGTATTTCTGTATGATAATAACAAAAAAGCAAGAAAAAACTGATCAAAACTAAGCTAGCGTGTTAAGTCAGCCGCTAGACAATTCACGTTATTTATTTTAAATTCGATTAGTAAAGGTAATTTCTGTTCTTCGTTTTTGGATATTCATTTATTTATTATTCACTAGATAGATTCATGTGTTTTTCTACCGAATGGAGATTACGCCGTAACCGTTTATGAACGCAATTTCAGTTCATTCGTTGGTGATATAATTTATAATTGTTCAATTGATGCCAGTACACTGTCAATCCTCATTTATGCTCTTACTGCTGAATGTCACTTATCTAATCGAAACGATACAGTATTAGTTGTAGATTATAAAAATATTGCTGGGTATGCTGGACGAAATTTACCCTTTCAAGTATTGAATGAAACATTCATAATTATATTAAAGCCGAAACCATTATCTAAAGTGTAGGTTCTAGTTGACGTTGATGCATTTTACTCTACAATTATCTTACCGTTAAGTAAGTCGAAGGATGTTTGTACGAGTAACAGCTTTTTTGTAGAATTCGATAACAGCTATAAAGGAGGGAGGTGGATAAGATCATTTTTCGTCCCTCAATATT